GGCATGCGAATTTGAAAAGAAATAATAATGCGAAAAAGTTTTGAAAAAATTCGAGTAAAGGTTCCAAATAACTGGTATCCCTTACCTGGAGCACCAAGAAAACTCCATCGTGGCAAATCGTCGGCCTTTTTCAGATTGATTGTTAGTCGTCGGGCATCCTTTTCAATACAAGACGAAATGTACAATTTACCGAGTTTCTGAAAAAATCGATATATAGATTGGTAGACCCACAACATCGATACATTGATTGGGTAATTTTAGGCGGTCCAAGGTCTTTCAAAGAAATCATTTCCTATCCACTTTTCAGAGGGCTTTATAAAGCAAGGAGATCGTTTTGTGAATGAGTCGTAAAATGAATTTTCTGACATCGATCGATGTATCGATCTGAAATCTCTTCGCTGGTGCCGCTGATCGATATATCGATCGAAGGCAGACTAGAGCGCGCGTTCAGCTACAGTAATCTTCTATGGTGCCTATGGTGGCTTGGCTAGTAATTTGCATAGGGAATATTGCTAAACTGAAAAATTTATCAGAAAATTACTGAATAGCTGCTCAAGAAAGGCAATTAGCAATTACGTGCTGCAGCCTAATTGTAGGTAATTGGAGATGGCGAAAACGACGTTGATGAACCAACGGCCATGAAAAACATGTTGACGCGAAGGATTAGCCGCTTACCGCTCTTGCAAAGCTGGGATTTTTGAAAATTTGAGAAAATTCTTCGATTTTTCATGGAATTACGATAATAGTAAATACATAAGTACATTTTATAGGATGATTTATAAGATTGCTAGGTACTGTAGAAAAATCAATAAGATCAAAAATTCTGTGCCAATTTTTTGGCACTTTTTAGGAGCCTAGACCCCCTCCCCTAAGTTGACTTCAGCAATTGATAACGTCATAAGTGTCACCATGGTTTCGTTTGGTTGCTTCGCTTGCTTTGACTTATTTATCCAGTTATTTACTTATTTATCTATTCCATTTATTAATTATTTACTGTTTACCTACTCAAGAGCTCGTGATAACTCATGGATTTATTATTTTTTCATTTTTTTCGGGGAATATCGAAATTTTTTGAATTCCTCAATCGACTTTCTTCAAGGGTCAGGCGCTTATACTTTGTAGCTTCAGCCTCCACTCGCTAGGGGTCTTCCGCTTTTTTTCCTTCGAAGATTTTCAAAAATTTCATTCATTGGGGTGTTACACAGAATGTATGCTTCGAAGGATCTTTAGCAAGAAGTTCTGATTTCATGGAAATGATTGAAAAACACCAGCTTCCCCATGGGGGCTTTTATTGCTTTCTCCCACCCTTTTATACCACTAATTTCTCACATTTCTTTTTTTCTTATGTTTTTCCAGAAAATTAATTCCCACAATTTTTTAGTGTGAGAGTCCCACGGGAGTAGTGTAATTTACTTATAGGCTCTAATAAAGTACGGCTTACGGTATTTGAATGACTTGATTAAATCCTTTCCCATTGGGTATTTGTCGATTAGATGGGAAAAAACTAAATTTTATGATGTGAAATAAAACTGGCCCTGGATCTTTAAAAAAGCGCCTAAAGCGGGTCAATCTAGCTCAGGGACAAGTCAAGTAATCGATTATCGATTAATATTGGGAATGTCCACAGAAAGCGATCCTATAACGACCATACTGGTTTTTAGTTACCAGCCGTTTTTAGCTACCATAGTTACCCATCGGAGAGCCCATTTAGCTTGAAGCGCAACCTGTTTTGTATTAAGAAACCGTTTCAGAGTTGACCGGCTTTTCAACGTTCCACTGAGATCAGATTTAGTTGGCTGTCTGCCAACTCTCCCTATCCTATGCCCCACATAGTCCCTGTTTACGAGGCATTTTATCGAGGCTGTTTGAAGTGCAGTACTTCGTCACTTCAATTCCTCGGAGTCCCATTGATCCCATCGCACTTCCACTTTCGAGCCGATGGCGCTTATCTCAGTGCTAGACGGATTCCATGGGTGATAACTTCCTGTTGCTAAATTTTGATAGAGTACAAGTTCTCCGGTCGGTAGACCTAACGTGGCCAGTAGGGCTCAGCCACAAGGACCTTTCCCTGTGAAATCCCTTAAATTAGCCCCCTGAACTTGCAGTTATTCCTTCAGATCCATTCTGAACATCCAGCTATGATACACATTATAAATACTATCGTATGCATTGTGACACATCCCATTATACGCAATAATGCACACGACAACACCAACACGTACTGCGCATAGCATCGTTATTACTGGATGAGTGTGCTGCTGTGGCTCAGGTTGGGATTCAGTCAGATCATCCTCGAAGTTATGGAGCCACTCTTTAGGTCTAGGGGCATAGGGACACTGCCGAGCTTCAGCCTTCTCACTGATGGAGTCTTCTTGCCTTGCTCAGTCAACAATAGTTAACGTGGGGCCTTATTCGGGGTGCATTTAGTCGCGGCTACGTTGACTGAAGGGTCAAAGTGGACCCAGTTATAGTCTGTCGGCTTGACTGACCTTGTACCGTTCTCCTGCTTCCCATGCCTACCCCAGCCACTATGAATAGTCAGCCACCCACGGCCAGGTGGCCGCCAGTGGCTGTAGTCAGGGTTAATCTCCAAAAAGCTCCCCTACCAGGTTCTTTCTCCCTAATTCTGCCCGGTACTTCCTTTTTTGTACTGCTAGCTGTTCATATTCAGTGATTGAAGAGCGATATTACCATGAAAATTGTTTGGGTCATTGGTGTATGTCACTCAGTTACAATAATTATTGTCCAGAATGGGCAATAAATTCTTAAGCTGGTCCTAGCACGAAAAATCTGCTTATAAGTATGCCTGTGCAAGCACCAAGGTGATTGGCAGCCACAGCAGTGATATCAGAGAACTTCAAGGTCTAAGTCTCCTGATGTCCGATTGTAAGGGAGAGAGGGACGGATTAGACCCCTCTAGAGAGTCCCTTCAGATATGCCCTGCAGTCGATACCCCTTTGGTTTTGTGAAGGCATTCACTCGGTCCCTCTAATGGCTTGCAGGTCAATTTATGTACTGGTGAAGGTACTGCTTCTGGACCCTCACAAGACGGAAATCCGATAGGTGATACGAGAGCTCTCCCAGAGACATTCCCCTTTGAAAAAAAGCCGTTCCCTCGCTTGCCGGCGAGTATTTTTCCTCATCCGAAAGCCGCTCCATCCGCATTAAAATCGCGTAAATTATTCACGAATGCCGCAGGCAGGTGAGAAATGGAAATCGACTGCTTCGGCATCGCCACTCATTTAAGTGTGCTGCTCTGGGAAAAAAAGAAAATTGATGAGCTCAAACTTCCGCTGCATCCGGTCTCATCGCTACAACTCAATATGCAAGAAAACGACTAGTTCAGTGCTCATGAGTCCCTCTGGGTTACGCCATGAATCCGATTCCGGTTCATGATTGTAGGGACTTTAATACAGTTACTTTACAGCCGTCCATCCTGATCCTTCAATGTTCACATCTTAGAGGGTACACTCAAGATAGAGGCGATGAACGAAACTCTTTTCCGACTAAATTTAGAAAATGATATTACAAAGAATGGAATGAGTAACTTATTCCAACTTATTCTACTCTAAACACGGAAATCGTGCAATGGGGCGGAGTTTCAGCGGTAGGCGGGGCTTTCAGATATGGGGCCTTATGGTTCAACTATCAAAAAATAATTCAGGCCCAAAACCAACTAGGACTCACCTTTGGTATTGCCTGCTTGATCTCCTCGATAACTTTGACCTCTTTTTTGGTGTTCAATTCACGAATCTCCCTCAGCGGTACGGTAGCTTCACCGATCATCAGATCTTTCCCGAGTTTAGCTCCGCCATGATGAAAAGCCGTGATAGAAATGTTCTTTGTGTCAAGATCCTCGATGGTGACATGATCGAAGAAGAATTCCTGAATAGCAAAAAATCAATAAGTGATCAATAAATCAATGACAAGAAAAATGCTAAGAAAAAAAATTGTCGGTTGTACAGTTTATACATAAACGAAGGGGTCATCATGTTCTTGTTGTGAGTCCAAACATGGAATCGAACCCGGGGACCCTTGTGTTCTATGCTGACGAAGGGACCAAGGATCGTTCCCTCTAGAATGCGCCATGTTTCCAACATTTGCTCAGTTCACTTAATTTATTTTCACAGAAGATAATACCCTCCACTCCGAATGATTCCACTCGTATACGCCATGCTTTCGACTATACGTTGAAATTATTGGCATTTGGAAAGCTACGAGCTGGATCTGTGCAAAGACTACAGGGACAACCAGTGTTTCGGCCCCAATACCTCTTATTTAAACCTATCTGGTATCCCTATCCTCCTGCCTTGGGAAGATTTTTGGTTGGTCTGAATGAAGTTTGGTCCTTGTACTCTGTGAGTTATTCATGCGCTTCTAACCATTGCACTGCTTTCATTACTTCTGAATAGGCAGTAAATCAACTTGGTTGACAGCTGTGCAGCGGCAGTGTACGCGTTTTTTCGTCGTTCCGTCGGAAAATTTCCAGCTTACGCGGCTGCGCTGAACGTCTTGCAAATTCGGCGGCCTTGTTTTGGATTTTCCCGGCCTTTGCTGATCCCTATTTTCAGTTCCCCCCCCCCCCCCCCCCCCCCCCCCCCCCACCGAAACACCGTCCCTCTTAC